TCGGACCTCTTTGTATCGATAGGCGGATTGCCCGCAAATGCCTCAAAGACATACCGCATCTGGTCGACGCTCTCCAGCAACCCCGAGTGCTCCTGGCATAGTTGCATGCGCAAGGAATGCGCGAACTTGGCGGCCTGATATGGTCTGCCGTCCATGGTTGTGCGGATAGGCTCGGTGTCTTCAACTATCATGGCAATCTCGGAATCGCGGTTACCGACCATTGATCGGTCATTGATGTTGGCTGATCCCATGATGACGTACCGGTCGTCGACGATCATCAGCTTGCAATGGATGTAGACGAGCTCGGACACGATTTGGTTGATTACTTCGGGCTCGACGTGGACAATTTCAGACTGGTCCGTGGTGGTGTGCGCCGTGTGCGGCGATGGCAGCGGAGGCTCGACGGTGACGGTGGGCAGTGATGCCGGTGCCGTAGATAGTGTGCTGAGAGGCGGCGGGCGCGGCAGAACGTTCAGGCGCCGCGTGCTCACCTGCTGCTGCTGCTGCTGCTGCTGGGCTGGAATAGCAGCCTTTTTGGCGCCGCCAAATACCTCATGCTCCATAATCTGTGGACCCATGCGCGGCGGCGGTGGAAACGCTGAGGGCTTCGGCGCTGGTGTCAAAGATGGCAGCACGGCAGCAGGCCTCTGCTTGCCCTCGCTAATGCGCGAAACTGTCGACATATTGCGGCCATGCGACGTCCCAGCACCGCCACCACCGGACTCGCCAGGGGTAGCGGCTATCTCTGCGTCGATCCGACGGCGCTCACGCATATACTCAGCGCCGGCAAACTCCGGCAGCACAGTATGCTGCTCGCGATCAACACCCTTGCCCCCAGCCTGCTTGAGGTGCTGGTTCGGGCCACCAAGGAAGGCTGCCTCCTCGGAAATGCGCTTGTTCTTTGGGTGCACGTAGTTGTCGACGTCATCCATGTCCACCTGCATGTGCGGCCCGCCGTACTCCGAGTCCGAGTCCCGCCGGTCCTCGGAAGTGAGCCCGTACTTGTGCATCTTCTTGTGCAGCCTGCTGCTACTCCCTTCTTTTTTGATTTTGCGGCCGGCCTTGGGCTTCTTTTGTCTGCCGTACTGCTTGATGTGCTCGGTGCCGCGGACCAGGTAGCGCAGCGCTGTTTTGCGCCGCCCGTCGTTGTCCAGCCGGCGCATGCCGTACCCGCTGCGGCCATCAGCCATCGCGTGGTCATACTCCATATCCGAGGACGAAAGGTCGGACTCGGACGACGATGAGGAAGACGACGACGACGACGACGACGACGACGATTCCGACTTGGCCGAGAACGTGCTGGTACGGTCTCCCCCTCCACCAGTCAAAAAGTTGCGAATTCCACCAGAGAACGACGATCTGCGGTGGGACAGCGGGTTGCGCGACAGGTTGAACGAGTGGCGACCGATCATGCTCGGGCGGGTCTGCGACTTTGGCCGGGCCGCAAGGCTGCCCTGGTCCTGCGACCGACGCCTGATCTCCTGCGACTTGCGCGCTGGATTGTTCTGCATCGGATAATTGTCCTCAGCAAAGGCCTCGTCGGGCCGCTGGAACGCAAAATCAGCGTTATGCGACGCCGGGTCGTGACTCTGGTTAAACGAAAGCGAGGGCGTGATCTGCACAGGGAACGATGCTGCGCGGTGCGTCTCGGGTGGCGGCGGTAGCGGCGGCGTCGGCGTCAGCAGCTCAGCGTGCGTGGCGGCCTTCTTGGGGTTTTCTGGCGGCTGCGTGCGGTCAATAACCGGGACGCCCTGCTTGCTCAGCATGTCCTCGAAGCCGGGCGCCTCCTGCGGCGCGTTGCCGGCAATAGCCGTGATGTCCTGCTTAACAGCACCGTCGGCAAAGCGGCGGATAACGTCGTAGGTGCGCAGACCGAAGAAGCGAATGTACTGGTGCATATCAATGCCCTCCTTGGCCAGCTGCGAGGCGATCGAGTGGTCGCCGCGGCAGATAGTCTGGTACTGCCAGTGCATAACCAGCTTGAGCGTGGCGGCGCCGGCCGCATTGACGTCGCCCTCAAAGGCCGGCATCAGGGGCATCAGCACAATGACACGGAACTTCTCCTCGCGGCGGTGCGCGTGCTTAATGCGGTCGACCAACGCCTCGGCAATGCGGTTCTTGATGGTGTACCCGGCATCCTCGCGCGCGCTCGAGATGAAGAACTGGTTCTCGATGTAGATGAAGTGTTTGGCATCGCGGATCATCTCGCAGTACGCCGTGTGGATGCTGCTCTCCTTGCTGATGCCCATAGACCACTCGGCCGATGACCGCAGCACCTGCGTGCGGCAAGTGCCGCGGTACTGCATATCGTTGCGTGTCGCCGAGTACTCGCCCTTGGGCATCAGGAATGGCATGTGCGCCTTGGCCAGCCCCTTGGAGCCCTTGATGAAGTTCCAGCGCTGGATGAAGTGGCGCGCAACGTCCCTTGCCGGCTGGCCAATCATCGCCATGTGCACGTCGTGCCACGGCATGCGCGCCGTCGAGCATCGGTCGATCAGCGTGTCCTCGTACTCGTGCACGTTGGAAAAGTCGTGGATGCGCGCGTTGTTGTAGTCCTGGCCGAAGAAGTTCTGCAGGTGCGCGAACGGCCGGCCCTTGTGCGGCAAAAAGTAGTCGGCCAGCCGGTGGCCGTGCGTGTCGTAGCGGCCCCAGCACAGGTCCAGCCCGCCAATAAACGCAAAGGTATTGTCCACAATTACCATCTTCTCATGGTGCGCCCAGAACATGGTTCCGCCGGCCAGATGGTCCGGGTGCCGCTGCACCATGATGTTCGGGTGCAGCGACTGCAGCTTGCGCTTGGTATACGCCGAGTTGATCGTCAGCGACACCGTGACCTCCTTGTAGATGACCACGTATATCTTAACGCCCTCCTCGGCCTTGCGCTTCAGCAGCCGGTCCAGCCGGAACTCCTCGTTCAGGTGGTACGGCCGCCGCAGGTGCAGCTCGGGTGACAGCCACCAGTCCTCGATGTAGATGCAGTCGGTCGCCTTCTCCAGCGCCTCAGACAGCGCGTAGAAATAGTCATCGCCGTCAACAAACCAGATGACGCGGCTGTTGTCGCGGATCGGCGCAAAAGATTCAAAGCGGTGCGGCACGGCCCACGCGGACAGCCGCTTCATCTCGCCAATCGAGTGGCGCCACTCATTGATAACGCGCTCGCTGTCGCTGCGCAGCTGGATGCGGCGGTACTGGTTGGACACGGTGATGCGGTACGGAAACAGCGGGTTGTGGCCCGACTTTTTGCGGTACTTGATGTCAAACTGCGGGTCGGCAAACAGCACGTCGCTGGGGTACGGGTCCGAGATGTGGTTGCAGAACGCGATGAACGAGTCGCGCACCAGCACCCACTGCTTGGACCACCGCCGCAGGTCGCGCGGCGTGCACCACATGCCAGTGGTATGCTCGACGCGCCGGTCCAGGCTGCCCTCCTTGCCCTTCCAGCCGACGTCCTTGATGATCGACACGGCGCTGAGCTCGAGGAACGTGCACACCTCGTAGGCCGGCCGCATGTTGAGCGCGCGCAGCAGCTTGACCAGGTACGACTCGAGCGCCTGCTTGCGGTCGACTGTCGACTGCATGCGCCGCTCGCTGCCGCTGCCGGTGCCGCCCAGATTGAACAGCCGCGCGCGCTCGATCGCGTAGCTGATCTGCGGCGGGAACGCCGGCAGCTGCGTGACACGGCCCTGAAACTTGCGCAGCGTCAGCACCGTGTGCAGCGCCAGAAAGTCGTTGAGCCGCCGGTGGATCGACCACTTGACGTCGCCGTACTGCAGCTCGATGCGCACAATAAAGTGGTGATCCTCCTCGCTGGTCGGCACCGCGCCCGACACCATGACGCTGAGCCGGATCGCGTCAAAGATCACGGGCGGCGCGCGGTGGCCGTGCTCGTCGCGCATAAAATGGAACATTGGCACAAACATCGCGTCCTGCAAGAACGGGAAGATGCTGTTGGGCATTGCGCTCTTCATCTGCCGCTGTGGCTTGCGCCCCGTCAGCACCGTGGCCTTGATGACCGCGCGCCGCAGCTTGTGCCGCAGGTCGTCGACGCGCTTGCGCCGCCCGGCCGCCTCGTCGTCGTCATCGTCGTCGTCGTTGCCATCGGCTTTGTTGTTGTGGTTGTCGTCATCGTCGTTTGAGCCGCGATGGAACAGCCGCGCGAGCAGCGGCGACTCCTTATCGTGCACGTGCTCGGATGCGCTCTCGATCTTGTCCTGTGCGCGAATGAGCTTGACCTTAACGCCGTCGGGGCCGATGACCGGCCCCCCGCTGACATCCTTGATTGTGTACGAATGCGCGAGTGCCGTTGTCGATGTGTTTGAGCCCGTGTAGTACTGCAGTGCCGACCCAGTCGACGAGACGCCTGTGTCGGCGCGGTCGCGGCTGCCGTTGCGCTCGCCACCTGCGTTGATGTCTGTGCTGCGCGCCTGTCTGCAAGGGTAGTTGTCGTCGGACCTATGCGATTAGATTGTATTAGATTGCATTGGCATTGGTATTAATATTAGCATTGAAGGTGAGCGGGGGGTGTGCTTTTTAATTGAAAGGAGCCGGGGGAAGCGGAGGGGAGGCATCTTTGCAGCAATATAGTGCATGCGCATTGAGAAATGCGCGCATCGCATTTTCAACACTTCAGCATCAAGCATTGGGCGCATCACGATCTGCGAACTCCCTTCTTCGGTCTGTGATCAGCTGAAGCAAGCTAAGCTGGGCTACGCGGAAGTAATGCCTCAACCGAAGGAAACGAACACTGCGGGTGCGGCAAGAGGTAGACATAGACATAGACATAGACATGGAGATGGAGATGGGGTGTGTTGAGGTGTTGAGCGGAATAGCATATATCAAAACGAAACAGCGGCAATAGCAACAATAGCAACAATAGCAACAGCAAAACAAAAAACACCATTGCAAGCAGTAAAACACATTAAGAGCCGTACTCATACACATACTGGACGTCACCGTGAGCCAGAGAGTCCTCGCCCATCGCAGGCACCCTCAGCTCCAACTGCTGCTGCTGCTGCTGCTGCTGCTGCTCCTCTGGCTGCAGCTGCTGTTCTTTCTCGGCATAATCGCTGTCCTCTATATTGTTCTCAGCGCGCTGGGACATGTCCGAAAACAGCTTATCCCACCCGCTAACGCTCCTCCTATGGGCATACGACACCCTGTTAGTCTCCGGCTGCTGCTCTCCAGCGGTTGAAATGGGCAGTAGCGGGGATATTGGCTGAGGCGGCAAGCATTCTATGCTGCTTCGGTTGGCTGCCTGCGGGACGTTGTTTCCAGCGAGATCTATTGTGTTGCTTTTGTGGATGGGTGGCCTCTTTTGTAATGGCGAGAGCATGAGTGCCTTTGCCGCCGCCTTCCCTGCGGCTGTCGGTCTCTGTGGTGGTGGATTGGTTGGCGAGGACGAATTTCCAATGGCCGTGGTTCCCTGCACCTGCTCTTTCTCTTCTTGTTTTGTTGGGCTCATTTCACGCAGAGGTAAATAAATAAAATGGCGAATTTTACAGTAAATAAATAAAGTTTTTTTTTTGCAAGTAGAAAAAAATGAACAAATGAACAAATACAAAAAAAAGTGGCTGCTAAAACAGAAACGAGAAATAAATAAAATGCAAAAAAAAAGAAGGCATATGCGGGGGCAAACATTACACAGTGAAATAAACACATGCTGTTTGGGTTGCAACGCGCATATCTATTTTTCCAATCAGGGGTTTTATTCAACTGAGACTTTAAAGTAGACAAGCATTAGTTTTTTTATGGCGAGACAGAGATGAGGTATTTGAGATCATATTTTTTGTCATTGCAGTGACATACGCAATTTATCTAAACGGTCCAATTTTTTTTTCCTATTTGTGCTGGTTTGTGTTCGGGCTTGGCTTTATCCGCGAGAGATATTAAAGCAAAAGTTTGTACGTTTTGCCTATTTTGGCTTTTTCTCTTCATTAATATTTTTCCATGGCTTTTTCCGAATCGGTGCTGCAATGCCTGCCCCCGATGGCTATCACGCAACCTGATCGATGCCTTATTCGTTCACGTGTATCGTCACACTCGTTTGTTTTTTGAAACACAAAGAGTAGAGCACGCACACGCACAGGCTTCTAAAGTAAAAGCTTGCCGCTTCTGCTTAAGTTCTTTATGCGGCGTAATACATTTTTATTATGTATTCGTAATACACACCGCTCAGACAAAAAAATAAAGAAAAAAAACAGGCTTGCATCCCTTTTTTCTTTTTTTTCCTGCGTAGTGTTTTTGGGTCTAAAGCATGCTTGTTATTTTTTTGTTCTTGTTTGTTTGTTTTTTCTCTCGCCTCATCCTTCTCCTATTTCACACTTTACTCCCCCCATCACTTTCCCTCGCACTCCCCCTCCCAAATAATTTTGCTTCTCTTTTCTTGGGTTTGACTTTTTTATTTGAGTTTATACTTTTTTATTCCAATCTGTGTACTCTATTTTTATTTGCATTTCTCTGTCTCGAATAATATTACCATCAACGCCGCCCCGTTGCAGAGACGCTCTTATTTTTTGCTACCCACGCCGCCTGTCAATACAAACCAAAAACAAACCACAGCAAATACAAATATAAAATACTGAGCTCTTTTTCCAACTAGCGAAATATTCGAGTGGAAAGGCAAATGGCATCGATTCTAAAAGCGATACTGGACTGGCTTCGGAGCCTTTTCTGGAAGGAGGAGATGGAGCTTACGCTGGTCGGACTGCAAAACTCGGGCAAAACAACATTGGTAAACGTCATAGCCTCTGGCCAATTCACCGAAGACATGATTCCCACGGTGGGCTTCAACATGCGCAAGGTAACCAAGGGCAACGTCACGATGAAGCTCTGGGACATTGGCGGCCAACCGCGGTTCCGAAGCATGTGGGAGCGCTATTGTCGCGGAGTCAACGCCATTGTGTTTGTCATCGATGCCGCCGATCATAACAAGTTGGACCAGGCGAGGGCCGAGTTGTGGAGTTTGTTGGAGAAGCCGCAGTTGGCCAACATTCCGGTTTTGGTCCTGGGCAATAAGAATGACTTGGACGAGTCTCTGACTGTGGAGCAGCTCATCGAGGCTATGAACCTGCAGGCTATAACTTCGAGGGAGGTTGCTTGTTACTCTATTTCTGCCAAGAATCAGGTCAATATCGATATTACGCTCACGTGGCTCATCCAGCATTCGTCGTCGGCATCGTCGCCGACCGCAGCACACGCCGAAATGCCAATGTGAACTCCTTTTATATTTCTTCTCTCCTTCTTTTTTCTTTTTGTTCGCTCGCCCCTTTTTATATTAAACAGCAGCCAAATTCCCCCCTTGCAAAACCTCCTTTTTCCTCTTCTTCTTTCCGGTGCCTTTCTTAATTAAATTTATCAACTATATTTTATTATCGAGTGAAACTAAGTGAGAGCGAGGCCCAGAAAGATATTAATGCAAAGTCGAAACAAATCAAATGATGGCAAGGGCAAGGGCAAGGGTAAAAATATACAGCCAGGTTGGTGGAAATGAATGAAGAAAATTTAACAAGGGTTTTTTTACTTTTCTTTTGCTAATTTTTTTTTAAAAAATTTGCGTTATATCTGATATTCTTAAATAAATTTATTACCAATATGATGGACTTAAAGGGCTCTTGCCACTGCGGCGACATTTCCTTCGAGTTCTCAAGCCAAGCGCCCGTCCCCTTTATGCGCTGCTACTGCTCGATCTGCCGCAAGACGTCCGGCGGCGGCGGCTACACGATCAACATCATCGGCCTCACCTCCACGCTAACCGTGACCCAGGGGGCCGATAAGCTGAAATCCTACCGCGCAATTAAGGACAAATCACAACCCGTCGACAAACAAGTTCTGTGCCAGAAGAGATTCTTTTGTCCCAATTGTGCGTCGTATCTGTGGGCACATTCGGAGGAGTGGGAGCAGTGGATTTACCCTTATGCCTCAGCCATTGATACGCCGTTGAAGGTTCCACCGGCGACAACAAGTATTATGCTGGGGAGTGCCCCTGAGTGGACGGATCCTAGGAAGTTGCCGAGAAAAGTTGTGGATAATGAGATGTTTGAAGAGTACCCTGAGTACTCGTTGGAGATGTGGCACAAGGACCATGGCGAGCTAGTGTGAATAAAAAATATTGAACCATTATGATTTTGTAGAAAAGAATATTAAAATATAGTATTTTTTCAAAGATATTCTAGGTCGTAAATATTTGTTCGCAACCCTTATTTATAGGTTTCCTTCATCGCTGTGGTTTGCCACAAACATTGACATATGCAGTTGATTTTTGACTTGGGTATTTAATCCGGACCATTGAACCTGTAATTTGGCAGCGCATTAACAGGCGAGTTGTTTCAAATGGCATTTGATGTCCATATTCGAAGCATTGTCATCGCATCGAACTAGTTTTGTGACTACTAGTGGAGCATCCAAATGGCTGTCGTTTTTTTGCTTGATTATCGCTGTGCTCTTGTGCAACTCGCTTTGTACCCCCCTCCCCGTGGCCGCGTATCGGCGCTTGTTAACTTTGCACTTGATCCTGTATCGCTCTTGTCCTCGTTGCTGGGCTCTGGCGTACATGGATCTAAAAATGCATTGGTCAAGCCCGTAATGCCGTTATAAGTTGGCTCTTTGTTAAGGCGAACATGTCACCCTTCAATCCTGTGTTGCGGTTCAAATGATAATTCTTCGATGAATGGCGACTCGTCTCCAAATGTCATTGTCATTGATCTCAACTCAATTAGAAGTGGCTCTCACTTTTCTGGCAATTCGATTAATGATGACACGATGTGTTCGATCAGTGCCATGTTAAATCACGTCAGCAAATCTCAGAGTTGTTTATGCGCTCGGCTCATTTATTACTTGAAACACTCCTTCAACGCCTTCCATTCAAATATGGTTGTTCTCAGCATTAAAAATGTGCTTGGATACTGTTGACATTGATGATGATGACAGTGATGATAGCACATGTGACGATAAAAGTGATGAGGACAGTACATATTGTGATGCTGTCGAAGATGGTGTAGAATAAACGAGTCTTGCTTTCGTCTCAATCGGCAGCGGTGGAAAATCGGAGAATGAGAATGAATCAGATGATGTGGGCAACAATGACGACCATGACAATACGCTTGAAGAATGTAGTCTGTACGGCTAGGTCGAATAATCTAATATCAAATGATAATTACTGCGAGATGTTTTGTTTGAATAGTCTGTTTCGAATTCCGCTGCTGGTGTTTCCCTGGGTTGCCGCCGAATAAGTCCCTGCGACACATGCACTGGGTGGTAAATTCTGGGCAAACCAAATAGGCTTGACACATGCACCAAAAATGCAGGCAAAGCCAAAGGCAAGACTGGCGAGATTAGCAATACTAACGTGGGTATTATCACATAGTTTTATTCAACAGGCAGCATGTAATCAAACAGCTCTACTGGCTCTTCGCTCTCATAGGGATCATCAATCTCGTCAATGTCAAATTCATGCACGCCTGTTGCAACAGCATGGCTATTGGTAATAAATAGCACAGGTGGCCCGGAAGTGTAGCTGTCTGTGGAACTATTGTCAAACGTGCCATGATATTACAGGTTGTCAAAGCCCTTTGATGAGCTAAAGTTCTCGGCGCCGATATTGCTGCTATTCCCTCCATGATCGTTATCCTTGTCGCAATATTTGTCCCTTGGTGACATATTGCTCATTTGGTCTTGGTCTTCCGATGCATGAAACATTATTAGCATGCTGACCTGAATGCCCCTAGACAATGGCGGACCGTTTATCATCAACAGATAATAAACCGTACCCTTGCGACTCATGTCCTCAAATGGCCCCTCTCTATAATAACAATAATCAACAACATTGACAACGTTTTCCAGGCATTTTAGGCTCACCATCCTGCCTGGCTCAAGCCAAATTGGGTTACGACTTTGGTTCACCTTTATGTTTGCTTGGCGTCTGATTCGCAAGTGAGCCTTTTCGGATTTTTTGTGAATTCTCTCCTCCAATTCCTCAACGCTCGGTGCCAGGTAGTTGACTTTGATTATTCTGTAATCCTCGCGTGCTAAAATCACTTTGTATCTATAGAACTGTTTAAGCGGAGTCATGCCAATATTTGGTAAGAATTTCACAGTGTGCACAGCCACGATTTCTGGGATAAATGTTATCTAGCCTTTATTGCCCAGGTTGTCTGCGTGCAGATGACGTAGAGCGTTCTTGAACAATTCGATGGCAATCTCAGCCAAATCTAACTGCGGGTGATACCTAATCGTGAGCATGCTCAAGATGGCATTGTCGTCGACAAACTACTTGTATTGCTCTAAGTTAAACTGGGTCTCGTTATCTGACGCCATGCACAGCGACATAATATAAACGCTGCACCAATTGTCCTGTATCATGTTTATAATTGTGCGTGCCGTCATTTCTTTGACTGGATACATTTTAATGTAGTCGCTTATACCATTGTGTGCCAAGAGCGCGTCCACAGCCCAGTATTTTGTCTTTCCCATCTGTACATTTATCTGATACAGATGGGAGCGTAGCCTAGCTAAATTGGACGTGATCATCTGTGTGTATATGTGATTCTAAATGGTGTTAAGCTGGCAGTTCTCTCACCATAATACCATGTTCTGTACCATAGCAGGTATGTTTTTGCACTACAGGTGGTGGCGTACGTAGTCAAGTACTTGCTTGTATCCAAGGTGGTGCATTAGTTTTGGGGTTTGGACGCGTAAAGATGGGGATCTGGAAGTGAGCGCTTGTTGCCTCACCAATACCA